AATCTTTGAAAAATTAATTCATAGACGGATCTACTCCTCCCTCATCTCAAACAACATACTAAACCCCTGTCAGTTTGGATTCAGGAATAATAAAAGCAAAAATGATGCTGTTATACACATTCTGGAGCTAATATATACCGCTCTCGAGAAGAAAGAAGTCCCACTGAGAATTTTCATTGACTTACGTAAAGCTTTTGATACAGTAGACCATGAATTGCTGCACACTAAATTAACACACTATGGTATAAGAGGCCACTCCATCAACTACCTAAAGTCATACCTTAGTAACAGAAGCCAATACGTGTACGCAAATGGTGCAAACTCTTCCACACAACCAATCACAGTAAGAGTCCCACAGGGAAGTGTGCTAGGATCACTCCTCTTTCTCATCTACATCAATGACCTACCAAATGCATCACAGCTACTCAAGCCCATATTATTTGCAGATGACACTACATACGTCTTCTCACACCCAAACCCGGCCATACTCGCCAACACAGTCAATGCTCAATTGCAGAAAATATATACCTGGATGATGATGAATAAACTTACCCTAAATATTGGCAAAACCTATTTCATTCGGTTTGGAACCAGAGCTGCAAATGTTCCACTTAACATAACACTAACTGGATCACCCATCACAAGACTCACAGAGGGAAAATTCCTAGGAATCCACCTAGACAGTAGCCTCAAATTCCAGACACATATACAACAAATTTCCAAGAAAATCTCAAAGACAGTAGGCATACTATCACAGATATGGTACTATGTTCCACAATCAGCTCTCCTTGCACTGTATCATTCACTCATCTACCCTTATCTCACATATGGAATTTGTGCATGGGGGTTCAACAACATCAAATCACCTAAGGCCACTAATAACCCAGCAAAAGGCTGCAATCAGAATGATAAATTCCCACCCGCAACAGCATACTCCACCTCTATTCAGAAGTCTAAATTTGCTCACCATAACGAACATCCACACTTATTCATGTGCCTACTACATACATAGAACAATACATGCAAACATAAATCCTCCACTTAAATTTCTCCTCACCAACCTTAACAGTACACACAACCATAACACAAGACACAGACCTCTTTTTGATGTACCCCGTGTCCACATCACACTGTTAAAAAACTAATCATCCAACATAAAGAAACAGGCCCTAAAATCTGGAAATTCATCTTACCAGACCATGACTAAAGAAACAAGCCTGAAAATCAATATTAAAAACTCTTCAAAAAAAAAACCATTTTGTACATCGCCAGGACAAATTAAATAACACTTAGTATTTAGCATATACCAATAATTCCCCCGCATTACTAATCTCAAAACTTCAAGACCAATATGGAAATTTATGATCAATCTTTTGTGTATACATTGTTGAATGTGACAATCTGTACAATGGAAAATGCTTCAGTATCGATATGTTCAAATTTCATTGTTTCAAATACTCAATTGTACTTCATATTGTAAATTGTTTACTGTAATTTTTAACACTGAACCTTTCATTGCTTGTTAATCTTAAGTAAATTTTAAGCCTGTCCATAATGCTCTGCATATAAGGGGCTTTTGGCATATACACCCAACTACTATAATCCATTGTACAACTATGTATCATGTCCAAATAAACTATATGAATATGAATATGAGTTATCTAGTATGCAATAAGGTATATTAAAATGTACTGCTCCATAACCTGTGTCAATATAGAGTAAGAATTAGGAATAGTCTGCCCAAAATGCCTAGGCATGCTAGAGGCCCTCCTTGTAATTAACCCATTCAGGGTTTCGGACGCACTAGTACGGCTTACGCACCAGGGTTTTTGACGTACTAGTATGCCTAAATTCTAGCGCCCTCAAATCTAGTGAGAGAAAGCTGGTAGGCCTACATATGAAAGAATGGGTCTATGTGGTCAGTGTGCGCAGTATAAAAAAAATCCTGCAGCACACAGTGCGTAATGAGAAAAAAAAATACTTTGATCAGTGTTTTTGGTTTAAAACAGCAACTTTGCACTGTATTTTCGTATGGTATTTATGATGGTATTCTAGTTTTCCTGGTCTCATTTTATAGAATGGAAGACATATTATGGAAATTGAGATGATTTTGATTGGTATCACAATGAAAAGTAACTTGAAATTGAGCTCAAAGTAGCAGAAATCTTTGATTTTTGCCAAAGTTCAAAAGTAAACAAATCATGCTACGCGTCCAATACATGTCAACTGATGAGTCTAATATTCTTTCACAAGTGCGTTGATATTATTTATACCATTTCTACACTAATGCAGTAGTCTGCATAACAGTAAATCTTCTATTTTTTGTGAGAATAAAAATTCAAAGTGGAAAGCAAAAGAATGTAAAAGGGGTGTGGGGACATGACTAATGAACAGAGGAAATGTTATTTTAGTGCCAGGAATGTCTTTCTTGTTTATTCTGGACCCTATTTGGAAATTGTCATCTTTTGAAATTTGTGTGAAATTGGCAAAATTGCTAAATTCTGACCACTTTATTGGATAGTTGAAATCGGTAAATGGGTGGTTTCTTGTACTCTTTCGATAGAAAAAATGGAGTTCTAGCGAAATAGCTATGATTTTTGTCGACTAGTACACTGGAATTGGCCGAAAATAGGGCTCAAAGTGGGCAAAATCGCCGATGCATAAACATCGTCGAGACCGCTAACTTCGCGAGAGCATAATTCCGTAAGTTTTCCATAAAATTTCATACTTTTGGTGTCATTATAATCAGGAAAAGATTCTCTCTCTTTTCATAAGAAAAAATTTTTTTTTTTTTTTTTTTAAATTTGGTGACCCTGAGAACAAGTCTCAGAGAGGGCCTGGCGACCCTGAAAGGGTTAATATTATTTATTATTTTTTTAGTATTAACACACTGGCCGCCTCCCACCAAGGCAGGGTGGCCTGCAAAAGAAAAACTTTCATCAGTCGTTCCATCACTGTCGTGCCAGAGGCATCCTTACACTACAGTTATAAAACTGCAACATTACCACCCCCTCCTTCAGAGTGCAGACACTGTACTTCCCATCTCCAGGACTCAAGTCCAGCCTGCCGGTTTCCCTAAATCCCTTCATAAATGTTACCTTGCTCACACTCCAACAGCACGTCAAGTTCTAAAAACCATTTGTCTCCATTCGCTCCTATCTAACACGCTCATGCATGTCTGCTAGAATTCCAAGCCCCTCGCAGACAAAACCTCCTTCACCCCCTCCCTCCAACCTTTCCTAGGCCAACCAATACCCTGCCTTCCCTCCACTACAGATTTATACACTCTTGAAGTCATTCTATTTCCTTCCATCCTCTCTACATGTCCAGACTACCTCAACCACCTCTCCTCAGCCCTCTGGATAATAGTTTTGGTAATCCCGCACCTCCTCCTAATTTCCAAACTATGAATTCTCTGCACTATATTCACACCACACACTGCTCTCAGACATGATATCTCCACTGCCTCCAGCCTTCCTTTTGTTGCAACATTCACCACCCATGATTAATTAATATTTTATAATATGTAAACCATACACTGTAAGCTTTGCAAGGAAATAAACATTTTCATTTTCCTTGGTTACACTACACATGCATGTGTACACACATATATATTTACACACCTGTCTGGGTTTTCTTCTATTTTCTTAACAGTTTTTTTTTTTTTTTTTTCCAACAAGTTGACCATCTTGTTCTTCTTTATTTCCCCTTATCTCCATGGGGAAGTGGAAAAGAATTCTTCCTCCGTAAGCAATGCGTATCACAAGAGGCGACTAAAATGCCAGGAGCAAGGGGGCTAGTAATGCCTTCTCTTGTATAAATTACTAAATTTAAAAAGAAAAACTTTCATTTTTCGTTTTAAAACACCCTGTCTTGGTAGGATATGGCTGGTTCATTGAAAAAAAACAAAAATTGATGTTATATAACATTATATTTGGTGGGAAGGAGGGTAGTCACTTGCATAGCCAAGTGGTGCCACATACCACTAACTTCAGTCCAGGGTAAAGCAAGATGTTGACCTACATTCAGCAAGCATTACTGAACTATTTTTCAAACGAGTTATTTACTATGCAAGACAGAACCTACAAGCCAAGTTTCTGAGTAAATTACTCTTCTACCCAAATTTATCTCAATTTGATGAGCTAGTATGCCCTGTTAAATACTGCTTACCCTAACACTGAGGTTTTCAAGAATGCAACTTCATTATTAACTGGGGTAAGCCTGTGCTGGAATGTATGAAGATCTCCCAAGTTAGGTAGATAATGGCATAAGCCAACAAGTGATGATTTCACAGACAGTATTTGATAAAATAGCAATGCAAGTGAAATCTTTCTTTCTTTCAACGCATCGGCCGTATCCCACCAAAGCGGGGTGGCCCAAAAGAGAAAAACAAAAGTTTCTCTTTTTAACTTTAGTAATATATACAGGAGAAGGGGTTACTAGCCTCTTGCTCCCAGCATTTAGTCGCCTCTTACAACATGCATGGCTCACAGAGGAAGAATTCTGTTCCACTTTCCCATGGAGAATGCAAGTGAAAATATCTGAAGATAATGCATGAAAAATAAAAGAAAAAGCTACCAATTTATGCTTCTGAAATTTAAGAAAATTTAGCTTCAGCGAGAAAATATAATTAATTTAATCAAATCAAATCACAGAACAGGTGAGACTCCCTATGATATAGAAATATACCTAGTAGGATGAATCTTATTACAGTCAGATGGTCCAGCAGCCTGGGAATTTTAGGACTCCCATGCCATGGGTTCAACCCTCCACTTGTTCTGTGCTTTGTTTGCAATTGTGTTATCAAGATTTCATGAGTCAAGATATAATTACTCTCTTTGAGAGCTCGTGAAGCTTTAAATTTTAAAAAATATTCCCCTCTTCAAAGCTAAATATTAAAGGAAATTAACAAGCTTAGAAAACTTATTTTGCAAAATTAAAACACTAAAGACCACAGCAAACAGATTATTGTAATTAGCAACACAATACATGTGGCATACTTCCAAGCTTCTTGTAGCATTACAAGAGGGTGAGAGGGATCTGGCATGAAGGATCGCAAGCATAAAGTTTCGTGATACTGATTCCAGGCACTCTCTCTACAGTCACGGCTACAGTATGATGCCTGCAATAAAACAAAACACAATTAGCATGTCTCATGAACAGTATTCAGTTTTACTTAAATTCACCAACACTTAACAGAAAAACAATAAATGACAGGCATAGCTTCAAGGCAACATTAAAGTCTGTATACTAAATATATAGTTTATAGTATTTGCAAATACCTTACATATTTATCTCATAAAAATTGAACTTCTAAAATTTTAATCTGAAACACATTAAAGAAGCACTGTGTTACTGGTTATGATGTTTTTGCAGTAAAAATAAGTATAATATACTGTATTTCATTTATTATTTTATTAACACTTCGAGGTTCCATCCCATAATTCTACGACTTTGAGGTCAGGGTCCAAACCGTATTACTATGTCATAAGCTCAGCTCACTAAGATAAGCTGTGAGTAAATTTGGGCCTAGATATGAGAGAATGCATCTATGTGGTAAGTGTGCACCAAATAAAACAAATCCTGCAGCACGCAGTGCATAACGAGAAAAAAAATGTGACTGTTTTGGGATTAAAACAGCGACTTTGCAGTGTATTTTTGTATGGTTTTTACAGTGTTCACGGTTTCTTGGTCTCATTTAATAGAACGGAAGATATATATTTAGCTATGGGTGTCGTAAGAGGTGACTAAATGCCGGGAGCAATGGGCTAGTAACCCTTACTCCTGTACAAATTACTAAAAACAAGGAAAAGAAAAACTATAAAATTGGGAAGTTTGAATGTGCATGGATGTAGTGTGGATGATAAGAAAAAGATGATTGCTAATGTTATGAATGAAAAGAAGTTGGATGTCCTAGACCTAAGCGAAACAAAGCTGAAAGGGGTAGGCGAGTTTCAGTGGGGAAAAATAAATGGGATTAAGTCAGGAGTATCTGAGAGAGTTACAGCTAAGGAATGGGTAGCAATAATGCTGAAGGATCAGTTATGGAGTGAGAAGAGGGAATATAAATATATAAATTCAGGGATTATGTTGATTAAAATAAGGGTCGGATGTGAAAAGTAGATCATAATAAGTGCATATTCACCTGGAGAAGAGAGGAGTGTAGAAAAGAGAGTGAGATTTTGGGAGATGTTAAGCGAGTGTGTAGGAACCTTTGAGCCAAGTGAGAGAGTAACTGTGGTAGGGGACCTAAATGCTAAAGTAGGAGAAGCATTTAGAGAGGGTGTGGTAGGTAAGTTTGGGGTGCCAGGTGTAAATGATTGATTGAACTTTGTATAGAAAGGGGTTTGATTACAGGTAACACATATTTTAAGAAAAAGAGGATAAATAAGTATACAAGATATGACATAGGGCGAAATGACAGTAATTTATTGGATTATGTATCGGTAGATAAAAGACTGTTGGGTAGACTTCAGGATGTACATGTTTATAGAGGGGCCACAGATATATCACATCACTTTTAGTTGTAGCTACACTGAGAGTAAAAGGTAGATGGGATACAAGGACAATGAAAACAGCAGGTAAGAGAGAAGTAAATATTTATAAACTAAAGTAGGAGGCAGTTAGGGTAAGAATTAAACAACTGTTGGAGGGCAGATGGGCTAGTGAGAGTATAGGCAATGGGGTAAAAGATGTATGGGGCAAGTTTGATTCTTTATCTTTTAACTCCACACCTTTTGCCAAGACCCTCACATTCACTTCTCTTACAACCCCGTCTATAAATATATTGAACAACCACGGTGACATCACACATCCCTGTCTAAGGCCCACTTTTACTGGGAAATGATCTCCCTCTTTCCTACATACTCTAACCTGAGCCTCACTATCCTTGTAAAAACTCTTCACTGCTTTCTGTAATCTACCTCCTATACCATACACCTGAAACATCTGCCACATTGCCCCCCCCCCTATCCACCCTGTCATACGCCTTTTCCAAATCCATAAATGCCGCAAAAACCTCTTTAGCCTTATCTAAATACTATTCACCTACATGTTTCACTGTAAACACTTGGTCTACACTCCCCCAACCTTTCCTATAGCCTCTTTGTTCATCTGCTATCCTACTCTCTGTCATACTCTTAATTCTTTCAATAATAACTCTACCATACACTTTACCAGGTATACTCAACAGACTTATCCCCCTATAATTTTTGCACTCTCTTTTGTCCCTTTTGCCTTTATACAAAGGAACTATGCATGCTCTCTGCCAATCCCTAGGTACCTTACCCTCTTCCATACATTTACTAAATAACAGCACCAACCACTACAAAATTACATCCCCACCTTCTTTTAACATTTTTATCTTTATCCCATCAATCCCAGTTTCCTTACCCCCTTTTATTCTACCCACTGCCTCATGAACTTCCCCCACACTCACAATTGGTTCTTCCTCACTCTTACAAGATGTTATTCCTCCTTGCCCTATACACGAAATCACAGCTTCCCTATCTTCATCAACATTTAACAATTCTTCAAAATATTCCCTCCATCTTCCCGATACCTCTAACTCTCCATTTAATAACTTTCCTCTCCTACTTTTAACTGACAAACCCATTTGTTCCCTATGCTTCCTCAACTTGTTAATTTCACTCCAAAATTTTTTCTTATTTTCAACAAAATTTGTTGATAACATCTCACCCACTCTCTCATTTGCTTTCTTTTTACATTGCTTCACCACTCTCTTAACCTCTATTTTTCTCTCCATATACTCTTCCCTCCTTGCATCACTTCTACTTTGTAAAAATCTCTCATATGCTAACTTTTTCTTCCTTACTACATCATCATTCCACCAATTGCTCCTCTTCCCTCCCGCACCCAATTTCCTGTAACCACAAACTTCTGTTGAACACTCTAACACTACATTTTTAAACCTACCCCATACATCTTTGACCCACCCCATTGCCTATACTCTCACTAGCCCATCTATCTTTTAATTTATATCTTACCCTAACTGCCTCCTCTTTTAGTTTTTAAACCTTCACCTCTCTCTTACTTGATGCTTGCATTTTTTCTTGTATCCCATCTACCTTTTATTCTCACTGTAGCTACAACTAAAAAGTGATCTGCTATATCTGTGGCCCTCTATAAATATGTACATCCTGAAGTCTACTCAACAGTCTTTTATCTACCAATACATAGTCCAACAAACTACTGTCATTACGCCCTACATCATATCTTGTATACTCGTTTATCCTCTTTTTCTTAAAATATGTATTACCTATAACTAAACCCCTTTCTATACAAAGTTCAATCAAAGGGCTCCCATTATCATTTATACCTGGCACCCCAAACTTACCTACCACACCCTCTCTAAATGTTTCTCCTACTTTAGCATTTAGGTCCCTTACCACAGTTACTCTCTCACTTGGTTCAAAGGTTCCTATACATTCACTTAACATCTTCCAAAATCTCTCTCTCTCCTCTACACTCCTCTCTTCTCCAGGTGCATACACTCTTATTATGACCCATTTTTCGCATCCAACCCTTATTTTAATCCACATAATCCTTGAATTTACGCATTTATATTCCCTCTTCTCCTTCCATAACTGATCCTTCAACATCCTTCAATATTACTGATTGGTTTTTGTACTGAAAATTACTTGAAAGTGAGCTCAAAGTAGCAGAAATGTTTGATTTTTGCTGATGTTCAAGAGTAAACAAATGATGTCATGCATCTAATATAAGTCAGCTGGTGGGTCTAATGTGCATTCACGAATGTGCTGATATTATTTATACAATTATTACAATATTGCATAACAGTAAATCTTCTATTTTTTGGTGTGAATAAAAATTCTTTATGTGAATAAAAATCAAAATGGAATTCATCTGTAAAGCCTGGAAATGTAACCAATAAACAGAGGAAATGTGACCCTAAAGAAGAAGAAACACTTTCATCATCATCCTTCATGGTATCACTGTCTTGGCAGAGGTGTGCCTACACTACAGTTAAAAAACTACATCATCAACACCCCTCCTTCAGAATGCACTGTACTTCCTACATCCAGGACTCCAGTCCAGCTTGCCGTTTTCCGTGAATCCCTTCAAGTTACCCTGCTCACACTCCAACAGCACGTCAAGTCATAAAAACCACTTGTCTCTAATCACTCCTATCTAACACAACAGGCACACCTGCTGAAAGCCCAAGCCCCTCATACACAAAACCTTCTTTACCTCCTCCCTCCAACCTCCACCCTGTCTTCCTCCTCTACAGATTTATATGCTCTCCAAGTCATTCTGTTTTGTTCCATCCTCTCAAAATGCACAAACCACCTCTACAACTCCTCCTCAGCCCTCTGGGTAATACTTTTAGTAGCCCCGCACTTCCTCCTAATTTCCAAACACGGATTCTCTGCATTATATTCACACTGCACATTGCCCTCAGACTAACTCCAGCCTTCTCCTTGTAGCAACTTTCACCACTCATGATTCACAACCACATAATAGCATTGGTATAACTATACTCTCATACATTCCCCTCTTTGCTTCCATTATGTAATATATTTTAGGTAATATATTTTAAAAATTTTAATGAGTGGCAAGTGAATATACCAAGAGAGCAAATACAATATGAACTGAAATCTGAAGCTGTGTAAGACTGGTATAATGATATGTGACTAAAGTAATGGCAGTAATGATAGGTATATGATAGACTGAATGAATTTGTGTAGAGTAAAAACTATTATCCAGAGAGCTGAGGAGGGGTTGTTGAGGTGGTTCAGACATGTAGAGAGAATGGAACGAAATAGAATGACTTCGAGAGTGCATAAATCTGTAGTGGAGGGAAGGCAAGGTAGAGGTTGGCCTAAGAAAGGCTGGAGGGAGGGGGTAAAGGTGGTTTTGTGTGAGAGGGGCTTGGACTTCCAGCAAGCACGTGTGAGCGTGTTAGATAGGAGTAAATGGAGACATATGGTTTTTAAGACTTTACATGCTGTTGGAGTGTGAGCAAGGTAACATTTATGAAAGGATTCAGGGATACTGGCAGGCTGAACTTGCCTCCTGGAGATGGGAAGTACAGTGTCTGCACTCTGAAGGAGAGGTGTTAATGCTGCAGTTTTACACTATAGTGTAAGTGCACCTCTGGCAAGACAGTGATGGAGTGAATGATGATGACAGTTTTTCTTTTTCGGGCCACCCTACCTTGGTGGGAAACAGCCAATGTGTTAATTAAAAAATAATAAAAACAAATATTTTTGTAGCAAAATATTATACACAACTTACATCACAATAAGGGCACTCTACTACAGCATCCTTCTTGGTATCACAGCACTCGGGATATGGCAGCGTCAACTGAGGATTCTGGGTCAGTCTGCAAGCATTTTCTTCTGCAGTTTCGAGGGGCCTGGATCATAAGAGGCTATAAAACTTAATGAAATAAGGAGAATGAATTTTATATTACTACTATTACCACTCGTAAGTCAGCTAATGGATGGCTTAATATAATATATTTTATGTTAATTAATGGAGTAGCACAAGAACAACAACATTTTGGGCATAGCAAATTACAAAAGAAAATACTTGTACAGTGGACCCTCGGTTATCGGCCATAATCCATTCCAGAAGGTCGGCCGATAACCAAAATGGCCGAAAACTGAATTAATATTTCCCATAAGAATTAATGGAAATACAATTAATCCATTCCAGACAAAAATATTCACAAAAAAATAATTTTTTTAACAATTATGTAAGTTTTACATACCTTTATTGAAGACTAATGATAGCTTCTGGAAGATAGGGAAGAGGAAAGAGGGAGGAGTTAGTGTTTGGAAGGGAAATCCCCCTCCATAAAGACTTTAGGTATCAAAGCCTTCTCTGGGGTTACTTCCCTTCTTTGTCCTTTAATGCTACTAGGACCAGCTTGAGAGTCACTGGACTCCTGTCTCACAACAAATCTGTCCATAGAGGTCTGTTTCTGGCATCTCTCTAAGATTTCCCTGAAGTGGGACAGGGTTTTGTAGCTGAACATGTTGCAGATATGACTTGTTTCAGCTTGGTCAGGGTGATGTATCTCTACAAAAGCTTGCACCCTAGTCCACATTGCACACACCTCTTTAATCTGTCATTTACTCCTACAGTACATTCATTACTAACCTTAAAATATTTGTAGTCTTAATATAGGGCAAGAGGTGAGTAGTATTTATTTGTAGGAAGTCAGTGTAGGTAGCGGTAGATGTGGGTACAGTACATCTATGTAGCTACCCCGGGCTACACTACACAGCCATATTATTACCATGTTCACTGAGTTTAATTGTTTCTAACAACTACCTTTAGATGACATCATAAACAAAGGGAGAAGTAATGAATAATTCATGCCAAGAATTGTAAACAAATGCATATGAAGGGCTGTTACTGCACCAGTCGCCAGATTCACAATTTTCTCTAACGCTGCATCAGAGAAAACGTAATGTTTACTCTCCATCCCACTCTCCACTCGATAACATATAAACACTGCATGTTTATATGCTACATGATATGTAACGTGTTTCTTATATAATTTTGAAGAAAATATCAAAGATGGATTAATGAAAATGTCTGTATTAACGTAAAATAAGATATTTAATGTGCCAAAGAGTGATTATTAATATGCATCGCATATAATAAACATTGCATGTTTATATGCTATGTAATGTGTTTCTTACATAATTTTGAAGAAAATATCATAGATGGATTAATGAAAATGTCTATATTAACATAAAATAAGACATTTAATGTGGCAGAGTGATTATTAAATATACATCGCATATAATAAACATTGCATGTTTATATGCTATGTAACATGTTTCTTACATAATTTTGAAGAAGATATAATAGATGTACCAGTGATTATTATTAAATACAGTGAACCCTCGACCAACGATGGCATCGATTAACGATAAATCTGACTAGCGATACATTTTAACGCAAAATTTTTGCCTCGACTAGCGCTAAAAAACTCGACCAACACTATTCGTTCCATCTGAGACACGTCCACTTCTGGCCAGTGTTTACAAGCCAGCCAGCCACCGCGGTCGCTTCCAAGCATACAACCGGAACATTTCATATTATCACAGCCTTTTTAGTGATTGCACCTGCAAAATAAGTCACCATGGGCCCCAAGAAAGCTTCTAGTGCCAACCCTACAGCAAAAAGGGTGAGAATTACTATGGATATGAAGAAAGAGATCATTGCTAAGTATGAAAGTGGAGTGCGTGTCTCCGAGCTGGCCAGGTTGTACACAAAACCCCAACCAACCATCGCTACTATTGTGGCCAAGAAAACGGCAATCAAGGAAGCTGTTCTTGCCAAAGGTGCAACTATGTTTTCAAAACTGAGATCGCAAGTGATAGAAGATGTTGAGAGACTGTTATTGGTGTGGATAAACGAAAAACAGATAGCAGGAGATAGCATCTCTCAAGCGATCATATGTGAAAAGGCTAAGAAGTTGCATGACGATTTAATTAAAAAAATGCCAGCAACTAGTGGTGATGTGAGTGAATTTAAGGCCAGCAAAGGTTGGTTTGAGAGATTTAAAGGGAAGGGAAGTAACCCCAGAAAAGGACTTGCCACCTCAAGTCCTAATGGAAGGGGATTCCCCTTCTAAACACTAAGACCATCAACACTCCTCCCATCCCATCAATCATCACCAGATCTTCAATAAAGGTAAGTGTCATGTAACTGTGCATATCTTCTTCAGTTTGTGTGTATTAAAATTAATATTTCATGTGGTAAAAACAATTTTTTTTTCATACTTTGGGGTGTCCTACACGGATTAATTTGATTTCCATTATTTCTTATGGGGAAAATTAACTTGACTAACGATAATTTTGACTAACGATGAGCTCTAAGGAATGGATTAATAGCGTTAGTTGAGGGTCCACTGTATACATCGCATATAAACATTGCATGTTTTCATATATTACTATGTAAAGTGTTTCTTTGGGCCCATGGTTGCTTATTTTGCAGTTGTACTTGATCAATAACCACAAAAAACAATGGATTACAGCAAAATGTTTGGATGAATGAGCAGAAGCTTCCTCACTTGCCCAGAGACAAAGCCAAACTGACTCGCAAGAGGCCCCAGCCGGCGGATGGGTGCCTCCCAAATGGCCAATAACTGAATTAATGGCCAATAACCGGGTGCCAAGAAACCGGCCGATAACCAAGTTGGCCAATAACTGAACTGGCCGATAACCGGGGGTCCACTGTACTGTATATTGTACATACAGGGAAAAATGGTAGGTAGTGTACTGAGGCATCTGTAGAAAAAAAGAATGTTATCCATGGAAGCAAAAAGAGTAATACATGCAAATAGTAGTATCAACACTCTCATAAGGGTGTGAAGTATGGGTTTTGAATGTTGCAGTAAGGGGGCTGGAAGATGTGGAGATGCCGTGTTTGAGGGCAATGTGTGGTGTGAATATTATGCAGAGAATTTGTAGTTTGGAGATTAGGTGTGGAGTTGCTAAGAAATTATGCAGGAAGCCTGAGGATGGGTTAATGAAGTGGTTTGAACATTTAGAGAGGATGGAGCAAAATAGGATGACTTGGAAGGAATGAAGGGTAGGGGTAGTCATAGGAAAGGTTGGAGGGACAGAGGTAAATAAGTTTATTCAGGTATACACAAATACAGTTACATAGATTATCATACATAGCAGCATACGTGTAAAGTACATAGGATAACCCAAAAAAGTCAGACAGAGTGATTTATTTCCATTGGGGTCCTTTTACCTTATTATTATAATATAAAGGTGATAATATCTCATTATTATTCTGTAAAGGAGATAACATTTTATTATCATACTATAAAGACTATCTACAATACGAGGGTCATTATTAGGAATAAGGTAAAATTACACATGTGTTAGCTAAAATAAATAAAAAATCATTCCCCTCCCTTTCTGTAGCTACATTCATCAGACACCTTTTGGCTCTCTTCTTGAACTGGTTCATGATATGACTGGCTTTGACATGTGCAGGCAGTCTGTTCCATCCTTTATTGCTGTACAATAAAAGGTGTTTGAAACCTGGCCACTGACTGTGGGTACTACAAAGCTGTGTTCTCTCCCCCAAGCACTGTGTTCTCTCCCTCAAGCACTATGATTGCTTTGGTTCCCAGCCTTGACAAAATTGGCAGCAAGATATTCTGGACACTGGATGTGAGCAATTTTAAAGGAAGCTTTGTATGTGAGGGGCTTGACATCTAATAGGCAAATGCGAGCATGTTAGACAGGAGTAGAGGCAAGTGATTTTTGTGATTTGATGAGGTGTTGGAGTGTGAGCAAGGTGACATTTATGAAGGCATTCAGGGAAGCCAGTTATCCGGACTCAGAGTCCTGGAGGTGCGAAGTACGGTGCCTGCACTCTGAAGGAGAGGTACAGATATTGCAGTTTGGAAGGGCATCTCAGCTGTAGTATCAGCATGCCTCCAGCAAGATGGTGAAGGAGTGAGTGATGGTTAAAGTGTTTCTTCTCTGTCAGGGCACCTTACCTTGGTGGGAGACAGTCAGTGTGTTAAAAAATAAACTAATCAGCTATTTTCCATCATGGCAGGGTGAAACCTCTCATGACTTTCAAAGTGCACATCAATTTATTTTATTTATTTATTTATTTATTTATTTATTTATTTATTTATTTAATGTCTTTGCAAACAGTACAGTGAGATTGTGTATATACAATAGTGGGTTGCAATGCAAAGAGAGCCTCTATTATGCCTTGGCATTATTATTTACCCTAAGAAACCTCAACTTAAGCTACTTGGTTTCCCTCAGCCCCTTCATAATATTACTTTGCTCATTCTAAAATACCAACCTATCTTCAATTTACTACTGTTCACTAATTTTCTTAAGAGATTCTCGATGCCAATTTCAAAACACCTTTTGCAAACTTATATATGCAGTACTATTTCTTTATTTAAGTTAGGTTCAGTTGGATTACATTACATAATCCTATAAAAATGTAAATTACAAATAAGCAAATTAAAAAAATGACTGCCAAAAAAAAGTCTTGTGAGGAGGTGGCTAAGGAATACTAGAAAACTTTTGAACTGAAACAACACCCATTAATGGTGAGAGAATGTGTTAAAAACAAGCTGTCAAATTCTACAGTTGACAGTAGACCACAACATCCTGCATCTTACACTAGAACATTATGGTACAGGTCCTCCATCACAAATCCGGCATCACTGGGACCTGTAGTGTGCCAGATTACCGAGTTTGCCGAATTACAGAGTGGTTAGGTTAGAATACACTTAATAAAATTAACCATCTTGACTTACATAGTTCATTGAACATCGGCAAAAATCAAACATTTCCTCTACATTGAGCTCAGTTTCAAGTACTTTTCGTCATGAAAGCAATCAAAATC